ATACAATTGTAAGGGTGAAACTAGTGGTAAATGAAGGTTATAGATGTTGGAAAAAATAGGAAATAAATATCATAAAATATTATTTATGAAAATATAATGAATATTATAGTAGTAAATAAATGTCATCAATAATTGAAGATAATTTTGATAAAATTATCAGTAGTTGGTAATTTTATTTTTTTTACAAAAAATTTAGGTTAGGGGTAGTTTCCCCAATTTAACGTCAGGGCATACTTAAGACCTAATTAAGATTTACATAAGAATTTATAGATTGCTCTCCAAAAGTGACGGTGGTAGGATTCAAACTTGGCCTTACAAGCTTAAATTCTTGAATCACAACCACTTGTGTCAACACTCATTTGCTCATCAGTTGATAATTATTATTATTATATATGATTTTAAGATCAAAATGTAAGAAAATAAAAGTATATCGATTAAATTAAAATTTTCTAAAAATTATCATTTTAAGTGAAATCGTGAGTTTAAACAAATAATAATATTGTTGTTTAGGCTATAATAATATTGTTGGTATAAATGATAATTGTCGCATGAATTTGATTTGATTATGATTTTATTTTGCACCATAAAGACTAAATTGAAATAAAATTTAAATTATAGGGACCACTGTAAAAAGTTTAGATTTTAAGCATTAAAAATAAATATATAAAATCTTTATAAATAATATATATTTTTATAAAAATTGAATTTTTAATTTCCATAAATTAAAAAAGAGTGAAGTTAAAGGTTTAAATTATCAATAAATATTAAAAGAATTAAAATTTAAAAACAAAGTGATATGTTTTTGAGCTAAAATGACGACAAATTATCTTTGGAATTGATATCGCGTAGATCTTAAAAAAATAATGTAAATTAAAAAAAATCTTCAATCAACCACTCAAACACAAAGTTATGAATTTCAAAATTTTATATTATATTTGTAGTTGAAACATAAAAATTGAATTTTTAAAAGTTACCTGGGCTAATTTTTGGAAATTTGTATTGTAGTTAATGTATTTTCATTTTCTTATATATTTTTTTTTCACAAAAATGTAAAAAAAAAAATTAAATAAATCTCCATCAGTTGCTGGAGATATTACCTATTACCATAGCATTCATTTTATTTTCCTAAATAATTTCTTATGATTTTATTTTCCTATATTTTTTCAATATTATTATTTCACCACTTTAACTTGTAAGTAGAGGTCTTTTCTCTTGAATTGATAAAGCATAAATCCCTTTCAAATACTATAACAGTATAAATTAATAAAATGATATAACTACATTTTTATAGTTCAGTTCTTAATATTTATAATAAAAATATTTATAAATCAATTTAGTTTCGCCTTTGTAAAATTGGTAGGTTTTTTTAATAAAAATAATACACTATATACAACATTAAAAGAAATCATAAAAATAATAAAATATACATAATTAAAAATAATATTTATCAAACCTTCAGAAAAAAATAATTTATGAAAACTCAAAATACATAAAAATCAAATAATAATCTAAAAATATATGGAATTTATTAGAAACATTATAACTTTTTAAAATATTGAATGAATATATTTTTAAAATTTAGAAAACGTGGTTAGGATAAAAGGCTACCCCATTTCACTGCCACAGTAGGGAGATGGGCGTTTTCAGTAGCGGGCCAACAGTACTGCAATGTAACCACGAATTTGACTAAGAAGAATCATGGAAATTAGTGGTAGTTTTGGTGTACGATAATTTAATATAAGATTAAAGAAATGTATTATTAAAAATGTTAATATTTTTTTAATATTTTTAGTAGATTGTTATTTAAAATATGATTTTTTATCAGAAATGTTAATTTTATTTTTGATATTAATATTTCCGAAAATAACATTTTAAATAGCGTCTGATATTAAAATTTTTAATAAAAAATAATATTTTAAGTAACGCTCTATCAAAAATATTAAAAAAATATTAATATTTCTAATAACATATTTTCTTAAACTTATATTAAATTGTATTTCCCTAAACCTCTCGAAAATTAGTATACACTATAAGGTAATTGGATTGTAATCCTCGAATATTAGGGATGGTAATGGGTCAGGTCGGGTTTTTGGGTCACCCGAACCGACCCGAGAAGAAAGAGTCTTCCACCCGTGACCCGACTTGACCCGAAGAAAATAAGATTTCACCCGACCCGATCCTTCCCGAAATAATTAAAAATATACATATTTTTATTCAATAAAAACATTGATTTAATTGAAAAAAATTATATATAGAGGGGTAATATTATAAGTATCCCTAAATATATAGGTAAAATTATATATATTTTTCGGGTCAGGTCGGGTCAGATTTTTTTCACCTTAAACCCGACCCGAACAGTGCATTAAAAAAACCCGACCCGACCCGAACTCAAATTTTTTAAAAAAAGATCCGACCTGATCGGGTTTGAATTGAATTGCCATCCCTATCGAATATGCTTTTCGCTGAGCCAGCCCCACCTTTCATTTACTAAAACACAACTTCAATTCCCCATTTAAACTTTAAAATTTTAGTATATATATTAAAAACTATTCATGAATTTAGATCATATGTATAATTTAATATATAAATTTAATTCCGTGCACTTATTCATATATTATTATTATTTTGATCTAATTACAGTATAAACTCTTTAAATTAATACTCGATAAATTAATAAACTCTCTAAAATAATAAATTTGTTCGGTCCCGACTTGGGTCAATGTAAAAAATTGAAAAACTCGATAAAATAATAAGATAATAATTTTTCGTGAGATCCCTTTATAATTTTCGGTCCTAAGAAAATCATAAATTAATAATTCATAGAAACTTAAAAAAATATATTACACTCTATTGAAATATGATTCAATAGTTGTCTGTTTTCCTTTAAAGTTCAAGTATATTTGGAGCTCATTATTAATTTAATTCATTTCTTGTAACGTAATTCTAAGAGGCATAAATTAATTTGTCTTTTTGTTTGGTATGTACAGTATAATTACTTAAAAATTCTTTAAAGTAATAATTAATAATTTATCAATAAATTAATAACTCTCTAAATTAATAAATTTTTTCGGTCCTGACATTATTAATTTATAAAGTTTTAACTGTATATTCATTTAAAATGATAAATATTATTATTTATTTTATAATTAATAATTATAACTATTCAATTTTTCTAACATGTAAAACTGTTATATTTTTGGTGTAAATCCTCATGAACATATCAATATTTCGCTAATATAATCGTCCAAAATATTTATTGCACAGAACTATCGGGAAAAAATATCATATCATTTTTGGAATTATTCTAGTCATATGGTTCACTCATAGCCTCTATCTATCATTCTTTGATACGATTTTGACAATTAAATTTGATGGTTAGTAGTTGTATTTGTACAAACTGACAGTCTACTGAGAGACATGATGACCGTAGATTTAACACAGTTATTTTACAATCGAGTTATTTATATCCCAAAAAAGACTAAAAAAGGTTTTTTTTCTTCTTCAAGTTATCATCATGCCCATCATCCTCTTCACTTATCTCTCTTTATTGTTCTCCAATATTGAATTATTAGCTGATAGTCTATCATTTATCGCTGGAGTGATATTTATCTTCACTTTGGAGATGATCTTATATTCTAACACATCGCTATTGTTATGTTAGATTATGGTGTCAGATTATAGTGCACGTCACAACTGACGTTGTACGATAGATGCTCTATTTTTTTCTTCTTCTGATTTTTAGTTTTTTTTTAATTTCTTTTATTATTTTCTTATTAAAATATATATGAATTAAAATATATAATTATGTAACTTATGTTTTTTCGTATTATTATTATGAATTGTAATTTTCTTATTTATTTGTATTTTCGTAATATTATTTATGAATATTTTATTTATATTTTTTATCTTGATATTTATTAGAAATGTATATGTTTTATTTTATATTTGTAAAATCAATATTATAATAGTTAAATATTATGAATAAAGTAGAGCTGATGATAATATAGAGATAGTGCTGGATATGAAATATTGTTTCATCTTTAGAGTAAAAATATAGATGATATAAAGTAGAGATGAGAGCTGGAGATGACCTAAATCAAGAGAAGTGAATCGTTAACAAAGAGATAAACTTGTTACATTAATATAAATTTAAAATGATATTAACCAATAAACTTTTTAATAGTAAAATAAATAAATAATGTATATAATTAAATAAAATTAAAATTTATGTAATATTTATCTATAAATTATAGATTAATTAAGCTAAACTCAAAATGCAATTTGTCCACGTTGTTGGGGAAATAGCCAACCAAAAAGAAGACCTCTAGCGCAGCGCAACTGTACCCAAATCATTCACATAAAAATCCCCAATTGCATACCTTAGTTGGCCACCAGCCTAGCCCTACACTACTTACTTGTCACTCACATCTCCTTGCTTTTGCAATTTGCTTTTCGGATGTCATCTCATCATTCATTTCATTTTAGTTCTCACAATAAATGAGAGTAAGATAAAATGTTATTTTCTTTAAAAGTTTAGTTAATTTATAGTGTGTATATATTATTAATAATTAATTTTTTAAACAAGTATTAATTATAAAGGATATATAAATTTTTATCAAAGTAAATAATTTAAAAATATATATAAATTTAAAATTATTACAATAATAATATTATTAATTAAGTTATAATTTGTGCCAATAAATTAATATATTAAATAATAAAAGACGTTAAGATTACTTGTAAAATTAGAAAGTTTACCATAAATATTTTTTCAATAGTAAAAAGAATCAAGTGCTACTATGCCCTGGAATTAACTACTCTACGTCGTCGTTTTATATTAGTAGACATACGTGGCACACATTTAACCGTTTTGCGTGTCCTCATAATAGAAAGAATACCGGCCGTTGGATCAACCCAAAAAAAGATTTAATATTAAAAAATCAACAGTGTTTGCGCGTGAACTAAGCGTAGGAGATAAAAGTCCAGAGTGGATTTATAGTTTGATTTAAGGGAACGTTGCTAATATAAAATATTATTCGAGAATTTTAAGAGATCAGTTATCACTCAAGTCCTAACGAAATTTTCGTTTGTTTTCCACAAGCACCGATCAATCTAAATTATGGCCGAGGAGGGGAAGAAGCAAGCTGAAGCTGAAACCACAGTGGCTCCACCGCCGACATTGGAGGCTCCAAAAGCTGAATCTGAAGAAAAAACCGTGTCTCCACCATCAACGGAGGAGAAACCTGAAGAATCGAAAGCTCTTGCAGTAGTTGAGAAACCCGAAGAATCGAAAGCTCTTGCGGTAGTTGAGAGTAAGCTTGGCTTTCACCTCATCGTGTTTGTTTTTATGTACAGTTTCAACTTTCAGAATTCGGATAATGAAATTCGTATTTTTTTAAAAGGCCTGTTTGGTTGCTTAATTATACTGGAAATCAACACTAGTCAGTGAATTTTTATTTCTTTTTCAGTGATATATTTTGTTTAGAGTGTTTTTTCGTTGAAGATGGATTTATTTATTTATTTCCTGCTTGAAGTAATTTTTTCTTTCAAAAATTTGTATGAGATAAAATTAAACATGATCATTTCGTATAATCAATTTTTTTTTTGGTTTTAATTCATGTCAAACTTAGTGTCTAAAATGTTTTACTAATATCAACTGATCTGGAAAACAGAGTTCAAGACTGTTTGGCATACATCTTTACTTTTAATCGCTGTTTCAGTGGTCTGTTATTTTAGGATATAATCAATTTTGACACAAAAGGGAGCAAATAAAATTAAAAGAATAGTTAAATTTCCTTTTTCAGATTTAAATGTGTGAGTTTTTCTATGTCTTTCTTTTGCTTACCATTTATGAAATAACCAATGATTGTTTTTTTTTGCACAGTTTCAACCCTAGAAATTACTCAATTTTGAAAAGTGAAGGTTTGTGAAAAAATTTATATATTCAAAAGACCATACATCTATATTTTTATATTTATATCTAAATATATTTTGGAAACTTTTAGAAAAGTGAAGTTTATTTTTTTCCGAGCCATATCATTCATTTACTTTTCTCAGATCATCAAAATTAATTACTGCCACGAATTTGATATTTCTGTTGTAATTGTGTTTATCAAATGTGAAACACATCTTTACACTGATGTGATGGTACTTTTTGTATTCTAGTAGAATATATGGTTAGGCTGGCACGGTGCTCTCCTGATTAGTTTAACGATATGCTTTTTGTAAACATGGTCCCTCCATTATCATCATGGGCATCTAATAATTTCATTATCTTTAGGTGAAAGATTAAAGTTGCTTTGAGAACATAACTTCTACTGTTGCTATACCTTTTCTTTTTAACTAGCTTTTAAGATTGAAGAAGAATCCTGAATTATAGTAGTATCCTTTTTGATGAAGAATTATAGTTTTAAATTCTTTCTGTATTGATAGAAATTCCAGGTAATCCTCAATTCGGTGATAGTTTTTGAGCAAGTTTTTCCATATCTGGATTTCCTCAATGTAATTAAAGAACCCATTTGCATGCTTTTATTTGTTTATGAAGTAAGATTAATCTAGACATGCTATATATTGAAGTATTTTGTTTCACATCTTTAACTTTACACACTGTTGTCATTAATCATTGCTAGTCACTCTTCTGGTGATTTTAACATTATTTTCATCTTGACAGAGGCTCCAGAACCTGAACCAAAGAAAATTTCAGGAGGATCACATGATAGAGGTAAGTGTTCGAAATAGTTCTTAGATACCACCGTTTTATTATCATCAGATACAGCTAAAAGGAGGGATGTTTATCTATAACCTCTTCTATTCTTCAGATATTGCCCTTGCAGAGGTTGAAAAGGCAAAAAGGTTGTCCTTCGTCAAGGCATGGGAAGATAGCGAAAAGGCCAAAGCAGAAAATAAGTAAGGCCAAATACCCTCTTTTATTTCCATGATCTTCTAGAGGAGTTTTAACTGTTAAATAATTTATCAACATAAACTGGTGAGCAGGTCCCAGAAAAAGCTCTCTGCAATTGTAGCATGGGAGAACAGCAAGAAAGCAGCTCTGGAAGCTCAACTGAAAAAAATTGAGGTAACTGGCCCTACCGTTGCTTATTTTTCCAGCCATAATGGCCCTGCAATGTTATTTACTTTCAATACTATGTTACATTGTGTGGTTATATGGCAAATGTGGAATTAGAATTTAGAGTTTTAGGTCAAGAGCAGCTCTTTGGATAAGCTTGGTGGATCATTTATCATTCGGGTTTAATTCTAACGTGTTGCGAACATTGGTAGGAACAATTGGAAAAGAAGGCAGAGTATGCAGAGAAAATGAAGAACAAGGTGGCTTTACTTCACAAGGAAGCAGAAGAAAAGAGGGCAATGGTTGAAGCCAAAAGTGGAGAAGAAGTTCTCAAGGCGGAGGAAATGGCCGCTAAATACCGCGCGACCGGACAAACTCCGAAAAAGCTCCTCGGATGTTTCTGAAGTCTGCTGAAGCAAATGTAAGTTCTAGCTGTTTTTTGGTGGTTGCCTCTTATTTGCAATTGTAATTGTGTCTTCCCGTTTTCATCTGTATAGTTGTCAGTTCTATGTTTGTTATATGTTTAAACAGTGTGTAAACATTACAAAGATTTAATCTGCCGTTTTTCATCTTGGTCGTGGAATCGATTGAAGCATATATGGAATGCAACTTCTTTCTCTTTGATTTTTGGGGATGTTTTTCATTTCCGCGTAAGAAAACGGTCGTCGGTTTGTATTTATAGTTTATTTGTTTCATGTAATTTATTATATTTTTATCATAAATAATATTTTTTAATTAATCATTAGTGTTCGATCTATTAACCGATTAATTCATATTGGGTATTGTAGAGACAATGACGACCCTTTCAATTAAGTTTGTTCCATTTACAAACGTCAAGTTCGAACCTATGACATTACTTAAGGAATTTAATATCTTTTCCTATTAGACTAACTGATTATTAATATTTATAACAAAAGATATTATTTATTTTATTTGATAATGATACATACATCACAAGGTTCAAATCAAAGAAAGAAGTAATAACTCTTCTAAATGATCCACTCGTCCAAGTTTTGGAAAAGAAGATCAGAACAGCAGCAGACTTGCGATGATTTTTTGAATGTGATCCTGATATTATTTGGTCGACATATCTTATGGAGATACAACCGTCTGTCCCTTATCTTTCCAACGGTTCTTGAATCACATCAATCTGATATCGGGAACTCAAGATATAGACTAAAGACGGTGTATGCAGAAAATCCTATACGGGATTAATACGAGATTTTGTAAATATTACGAATTTTTAATATTTTTTATTGATTATTTGTAATATAACTTAATATAGGATGATGCATTATCTTTTAGGATTAGATTTATTATTTTATTAGGAATTAAGGGTGGGTTAAAATATTATCTTTAGTTATTATTATTTTATTAGGAATTAGAGTTAAGACATGTTTAGTTTATTATTATTTTTATTCATTAGTTATCTAGGACCTTTAGAACTCAGCCCCTATATAAAGGAGGCTTCATTCAACTTTGTAATACAAGATTTCTTTGATTAATAATATAACGAGAGTTCGTTTTTGCAAGTGCTGATTGCCTTGTGCCTTCGAAGCTTCTTCTCCTGGAGTTCTTTCAAGTTATTGTGAGGGAGATTAATCTTCACACTCCAATTTGCCTTTTCATTGCGACTAGGAGGGTTGGTTAGAGCCATATTATCGTGTTTGCCTTTTCATTGCGACTAGGAGGGCTCGATAGGACACTTATCCATCTATTTTCCACATATCCATCCACACCATCATCATCTTTACCGTTCACCTTCATAAGGGAGATCTTTTGATTTCTTGGTTATCATATTTTATTTTCAATTTCTTTATATTTTGTTTATCTTGTTCTAATCTTGTTTCTTACCTTGTTTCTAGCACTTAAAGAAACCCCAAAGAATCCTAGCTATTGCCGCCACCTTCCCCATTCATATCTTATTATTCTTCATCGAGTCTAGAGCTTTTATAGGTTTGATTCCTCAATAAGAGCAACGTTCATCAATCCGCCATCGCTTCCCCTATCAATTGGTATTAGATTTGGGTCGATTCTAGGAAAGAAGCAAGCAATCTTGTTTGTTCTTGCATACAACACCGTAAAGGTACCCCAACGGAGCTAGTTCAGAGAAGATTCATCGTTTCAGGTTATTTTTTATTTAATTTTAATTTAGATTCAAATCCTTCTTGTTAGTTTGCTATTTAAAAAAAACAAAAAAGGGCAAAAAAACAAAACTAAAAAACCAAAATTTCAAAAAAAAAAATTGCAAACGAAGGTATTTATGGTTGATTTTCTCCAGATATCATATTCGTCTTAAGTTTAATCTCCAGTCCAAAATTCACTTCGATCAGAGTTCATTAGATCCTTCAAATACATCATTCAAGTTTTATCGGCAGATTCAGTCTAGAATATTGTCGAATTTCTTGAAAATTCTATAGGAGGAATTTTGTGGTGAAAATTTCCAGATTGAAACTTCATATATTGAATATCATTCACACAAAAAATCATAATTTTTGGAGATCAAGAACAACTTCGAACAAAACGATCAAGAAAAACAGATTGTTTGAGGACTCACCGTTCAACAAAGTCTACTGGATACTACTGAAGGTATTTGGTTCTGAAATTTTACAGGTGGTTTCTTGACGCATCGAAAGACATTCAAGAATTTTTCCAGAATTTTTGGATACCGGTAACCCCTCAAAAATGTTTCTCAAGTTGATCCAGCGTTTTCTAGGTTTTCTGGTTTGGTCCTTTTTTTCTTTGACTCTTAGTGCTTTAGGTTCTTTTGTTTTTCCCTGTTATTGTTCTTTTTCATTATCTAACACATTATCTTCCTTGTATTAGTAGGACTAAAGAGTTTGCATACTTCTTCCTTCTTTTCATTCTCGTTCTCTTCGAGTCTAACCTTTGTTTGGCCTTTTAGAGCTTTTAGGTTTTTCTTATCGCATTTGCTAGTAATCAAACTCCTATACGAATTGTGAAAGACTAATTGGTAAAGTGAGTTTTAAAGAGTACAAGATCGGCTTACTTGCCTCTCGTTGTGTTACTTTCTTGGAGTGACTTGTGAGGTTTCTTGCTTTGTTAAATTTTCTTTCTTTTATTTTTATTTTACTTTAAAATTTTCTTTCGAGTGTTATGATTTCAGGATGTGTGACAATAACAACAAGACACTTACGGCTATCTTAGCCGCACTTGCACGACTCACGACTCAAGTTGAAAGATTTGATGAACTTACCAATACTGTGAGAGAACGACAAGAACCACAACTGGATCTACCAAACCAAAATCCAAGACTAAATAATGCTGAACTTTTGGTACCCAGGCGAGAACAACCACAGTTCCAAGCACCCGAACTCTTTGCAAAACCAAAGTTCATGATCCCGTCTTTCAAAGAAGACAACGATCCGGACAGGTACATCGATTGGGAAGGAAAAGTTGATCTCATATTCGCATACCATGACTACCCCCAAGCTAAATAAGTTCCCCTCATCACCATGCAATTCGAAGGATATGCTCGAACTTGGTGGATGCAAACAAGGAAAAAGATCCAGAATTTCCAAATTCCAACAATCACTTCTTGGACCGACCTCAAACAAACCATGAGGAAGCGATTCCTACCGACACATTATACACGAAAAGTTAAACTACGACTACACCGACTTCGACAAGGTAGAAGTTCAGTTGAAGACTACTACAAAGAGATGCAATCCTTACTCAATAGGGATAACATAACCGAAAAAGAAGAGGTCACCGTGTCAAGATTCGTCGTCGGATTGAACTCAAACATCACTGATCTTCTTGACCTCCATGGGTACGAAAACCTTGAAGATACACTAAAGAAAGCAATGACAATCGAAATACAAATCCAAAGGAGATTTCGAGAACATTACCAAGGTACTTCATCCTCTTACCAAGGTAATCCTTCAAATCCTTCCTCATCTTCTGCTCCATCTTCTCTGAAAAACCCAAGAGATGACAAACCTGACAAGGAGAAAGAACGACCAGCAAAGAATGACACACTTCCAGCCCCTAAAGATCAAATGATAATTTGTGAGGAGGTAGGGAAAGCAAAAAAAGAAAAAAATGAGAAAGAGGCAAAAGAGAAAGAGGTCACTAGTTATAAAAACCAAAAGAATAATGACCCATGGGAGGTGAGTGAACCTAATTGTGAGAAGAAAAGAGTGACTCAAAATCTATGTGTGAGCACAAAAGAATTGAGAGAGAACCTTCTTTACAAACAACCTTCTATCCTTGTTCGCTTTAGAGAATCAATTGTTTCGATTTCTAACATTAACAAGGATTTGCCTAGTGTGTTTTCATCTTTGTTATAGGATTTTTGAGAAGAATTAGGTGATCCACCTGACGGATTACCACTAGAAAAAGGAAAAACACCAAACCAATCTAATTCAAGGTTCCATCATACCTCGTCAAACATACAATCTCGAAGAAACCAAAGAGTTAGATTTGTTACAAAAAGGCTACATCCATGAAAGCCTTAATCGTAACGTCATCTTAATGACGAAACATGACTTGAACAACTCCACATGCTTTATAGTTCGTGCACAGGGAATCCATGTAAATGATGAGAAAGTAAAAGCGACATGAGACTGGCCCACACCATCTTCCATCGCCAAGAGTTGTCGAATAGTGCTAGGTGACCCTCCTGAAGGGTTACCACCTGAAAGCCCTAATCACTATGCCATACCAATGAAGAGTCACGATTTACGAGAGTCCAAAGGTAAATATTTTATTAATCATTTTAATGACATTGTAACGTACTTCTTCTCCTTCTTACAAGGTAAGGCTCGTGAAGTTGTCATCCATACTAAACACAACTCCTTTAAGTGCGTAACATACCGAGGTAAGCAAAACACAGTAGACGATACACTACCACGAAGGTATACTCTTACCTATCAAACTCATACTACTATTCTGAGAATTGAACATATCAAAGATGTATATCACGATAACTCGGATATTTCTGATATTCCTACCCATACTTTTAAAAGTGCTTTTAATGAGCTTTATCTTGTATATGAGTTTCCTTGCCAACTAAACAGGTTCTACAGTCCACAAATCTCCTCCTGGGAATCATTAATTCATGAACCACACTTAGGAGACTTAAGGGATTACTTTAACAAACCAGTTGACATGATTTTTAAACACTCATTCTCGCCACACACGAATAAAACCATGGATAAATTATTTGAAATAATCATACAGAAAGCCAACAGTGGCCGGCGCCATGTTGAAATTCAACCAAAACATCAGATTACAAGACTTGTATGCAAAAGAGGATTTCAAGACTACAAGAAATCAGTTCCTACAAAGAAGAAACCTCGACTTAAACGCATAAAGACACATCACATTGATCCTGGTAAATGTTTCACAAGTTTTTCTTTCAACACATCTAAATCTCTTTCTTTTGGATTTTCAGATTCGAGGACGAATCCTTTTGAGGAGTGGGGGAATGATACATGCACCAGAATCCATAATACATGCTTCTTTGGACTAATGTTTCTACTCGAACCTATTAGAAGAACAAAGTCTCGAAGATTCAAAGCATATCTATTCGGTAAGCATAATG